GCACAGCTTGTCCCGGGGCCAGGCTTGACAGCAGGAAAGCTGGCGTCTGCTGCCGTCCTCCCTGCTCAAAGTAGGCGGACGAGGTGGCTGCTGGGGGCGGCAGGGGACCTGCGGGTAAGCAGACAGGCAGGCGAGCTTTGATCCCAAACGCCACCTTTGCAATCGGTCACAAACATACTGATGCCGACGAGACCAAAGCAACAGTCAAAGCTGTGCAACATCTGCTGCTGGCCACCCCCCTCTCTGCCCACACACTCGGCCCTCCCACCTGCATCGGCTGGCTCCTGCTCCGCCTCTGGCAGCTCAGTGTGCCGCCCACTGGCCCGCACCCGCAAGTCATCCACCAGGATTGCTCGCCGCTCCAGCTTGAACCCAAACTCACGCTGCAACATAGAGACAACACAACAATAAGTCACCAACCCAACAATCAAACATAGCAAAGCAAGACCGATCCAGATTTCCCCAGAATGAACCCTCCAGAGCTGTGGCAAGCTGACCCCTGCTGGCCAACCTGGTATGCTTGCTCAAACGCTACTGCAAAGTCGCCGTCTTCCGGGCTGGGTGTCATGATGGGCACGTCGGTGCCGTCATACCGCAAGTTAAGAAAGCGCTGGCAGTGGACCTGGTGCTCGGTGAAGCCCTGCACAGCAAGGGGCAAGGTAGCCAGAAGGTGGAACACGCGGTTTATGGGCAGTTATCAGAAGAAGAGCGATGTTGCAAAATAATCAAATTGCCTCGTTTGGAAGTGGCCATGAGCAGCACCTGTTGTTGCAGCCGACCGGTGGTCTGTGCCTGTAGCGCATCCAACCTCCTGTTGAGCTCCGGCAGCACAGTGCTGCTCAAGGTTGCAGCCGACGGCTCCTGCGGGCAGCACCACACCTCACACATGCTGTCTTCACACAGCCTTTAGGCTGTGTATGAAGGAGGGCAGGTCTGCAAAGACTCCTCGTAACAACACTGGTCAAGGCGGGCACTTGCCTGCGCCTCCTGCACCACCTCGGCGAGCCCGATGCCCACCGCCGACAGGATGCCGCTGAAGCGGTGCATAAAGATGGTCTCGATGCCCAATGCGGCGGCAATGGCGCAGGCGTGCTGCCCTCCGGCACCGCCAAAGCAGGCCAGCACGTGCTGCGTGACGTCATGACCCTGCACGGCAAGTCACCGCAGGGCAGTCAGCCAGCCTGCCGACTAATTCGGCACAAGTGCACGCGGTCCACCCGCCTTCATCTGTGTCAGCGCCCGTATGGGGCGGCACATCGTCTCGTTGGCCACCCGCACAAACCCCATGGCCACCTCATCGACGCTCTTGGGCGGCTGCCCTGCTGCCGCCGCATGAGAGTTGACCTCGGCTGTCACCGCCTCCATGGCGGCCCTGGGGCCAGGGATCAAGTGGAGCAGGGCATACATGAGAGTTGGAGCTACAAAACAGACGCTTGGCAAAGCTGGCAAGTCGCAGGGCGGGCTACTGCTGAGGCTGTCATGCACTAAACGTCAGCTGACCTGGCACCCTCTGCATCCAGCGGCTCATCCTCCCGCGGCCCAAAGATGTGGGGAAAGAAGTCCGGCAGGATGCGGCCCAGCACCAGGTTGGCATCTGCAGGGGTTGGTGGGCGCATTGGATTGCTGAGGATCGGAGGAAGACAGACAGGCAGTAGGGGCGCATTAGTATACTGCAGGACTTTGTTTGGCTTGGGCATGATACAGATATACAGTTCTGGTCTCACCTGTGATTGCCAGGTAGCCGTTCTTACGGTAGCAGACAGGCCCTGGGTGGGCCCCGGACGACTCCGGACCCACCTGCATGCCAACCCAGGTGTCGCTGTCAGGGACAGAACAGATTGCAAGCCAACACCTGCCTCCAGCTGTTGTACGGCTGCTGTCAGCCCTTGTGTTGACCTCATTCTGCACTACATCCATCCGGGCGAGGTGGCTGGCGGCCTTGCCTGGAAAACTCCGGAGCGGAAGAAGAGGCGGGAGCCGCCGCCAGCCGCCACAGTGTTGATGTCCAACTGCGGCGCCTGGATGGTCACGCCCGCGGTGGTGCTCTCAAATACGTGCTCGTACCGCCCAGCGTATCGCGAGACATCTGGGGGGCAGTGCAAAGGCAAGGTATGCCGTGTGACGAGAGCTAGCCTGGCAGGCTCTGGTGGCAGGCGAGCTTGTGGATAATGCTGAAAAACAGCAGGCAGGCAGGCAGGCAGGCGAGCATGCAAAACACACCGGTGCTGGTGCCGCCCATGTCGAAGCCAATCATCTGCAGCTGGCTGCCGGCCGTGCCGCCCCAGCGGGTGGTCACCGCATACCCCACATACCCGCCTGCACCAGTTGGCAAGGAGCACGCACGCTTGTGGAAGTCAAGCGGTCGTGGCGGGGCTGTTGGGACCTGCCAGTCGGGCAGAAGCATCGAGACAGACAGCGTCATGTCGCAGAAGCTCGTTCGCTCACCTGCGGGCCCTGACAAGATGGCCTTGTGCCCTGAGAAATCGGCCACGCTGGTCAGGCCGCCGTCAGACTGCATGAAGTAGACGGGCACGTGGCTGAGGCCACTGTCAAAACCCGCCTGGAAGGTCTCTATGTACCTGCACATCAGCACATGTGTGGGGTGGGTGCTTCGGGTGATGGGCCCTGGTTGGGATGGGGGTGTGGGCGACATGGGGGCAACATGGGGCCAGGTGCATGCCCTCACCGCATAATGTGGGGGGTGAGGTAGGCGTCGGCAGCCGCCGTGAAGCCACGGGGAACCATCTTGACCATTGGCATCACCACAGAAGACAGCGACACCTGGTAGAGGGAGGATGGAAGGCACGGTAGGAGCGCAGAAGCTGGCTAAAGCAGCTGGCAGCACAAGCCATGCCACCAGCACAAGCCATGCCACCCTCAGGCACCTCCAGCAAACTGCAAGCGGGAGGGGCGCACCTGCTGAAACCCCATCTCCCGAGCCAGCTGCCCCACTTGCTGCTCGTGTTGCGGAAAGATGGCGGCGTGCTTGAGCACCACAGCCACCGACACAATGCCTGCAATTGTGGCCAGCAAGAAATGCAATTCAGGGCGACAGCGTGCAGCAACTCCCTGGGAGCATCTGCTGTTCTGTGGGCTGGCCGGGTAAACCCGCCCCAGCTTCAGAACCGGCAGCCACAACTGGCTGGCCGCCACGCACCTGCATCCAGCACACGCTGCAGCTCCCGCCGCAGCGCCTGCAGGTTTGGCGCCCTCCGGATGCACACCGCCTCCCCCGTGACCGCTGTGGCCGTGGTGCCGTGCTGCGGGTGGCGCTGGCTGTCCCCCACTGGGTCGCGTCCGGCGCGCCTGCAGCAGCAGGCGCACTGATGGTGCAGTTGGGCAGGCTGACAGGGCTACAGAAGGTGCAAACCCTGGGCAGGTGGTCCCTTTAACCCGCACCACTACCATCGCCCACCCGGTCCCCACCTTCCCTCCCACACAGCCTGCCCCATACTCACGTGCCAGGCGTGTCCCCCAGCGGAAGCACCACCTGCTCCTCGCACTCCACCACCATCTCATACAGAACATCCGGCGCCTTGATCTCCAGGTCAAAGATGTCGGGGCGCGACTGCACAAGGGCACGGCAGCAGCCAGTGGGGAAACAGTGACACAAGGTTGAAGCCAAGCACCCCCCCGCATGGGACCCACCCCACTGGCTGCTGCCCCTCCCCCAGCACAGGCGCACGTGCCCGCCTCCCCTGCCATGCTCCCGGCGCCCACCTGGTTGCCAATGTGCAGCAGATCGCGGAAGCCCTGGGTCACCACAAGCGCCGTGCGCTCGCCCTTGCGTTCCAGCAGCGCATTGGTCGCCACCTGGGGCGGCAGCAGAGCGGGCCGCTGCTGAAACAACTGCTGACCTTCACTGTTTGCTAGCTGCCAAGCCACTTAGGCAGGGGAGAGAAGGACAGGGCCAGTTGGCTGATTCCAATGCAGCATTGCTCCTGTGCCAGCGTCCCCAGTCCCAGACCACTCCCCTGCCTTTAACTCGCACCGTGGTGCCCATACGGATGGAGGCGATGCGAGAGGTGTCCAGCGGCGCCCCCCGCGGATGTGGCACCCCTGTCTCCGCCTCCAACACCCGCCGGATGCCCTCCCGCGGCGCATCAGGGTAGTTGGCCGGGTCGACTGATAGAAGCTTGAGCACCCGTGTGTGCGCGGTGCCGCTGGCATCTGCCCACTCAGCATACACATCTGCAGCCACGCAGGCTAGACAAGCAAAGTCAGCATGCGCAATCGGGGGCCACCGCTGGGCGGCGTGGCAGCGACAAAGGCGGCGGCGGAGCAGGGCGGCGGCGGCAGCAAGCCTTCTGGGAGCCTTGGCTGCTGGCCGCTGCTTTCTCAGCATCTCACAGATGGCATGCACGCGCCCACAGCGCAGGGCAGAGAGGGCTAGCAATAGCAACACATCGGCACAGGCCTCCAGCGTGCTCTGCGGGGGACTCAATCGATCAATGGCACGGTCAACACGCACCAGTGAATGTGCCCCCGCGGTCTATGGAGAAGGCAAAGCCGCTCGGCGCGGCGCCTCTCATCTCATATGATCGCTTCCAGTGGAGTATGCTCGATTGAAAGTAACTGCTGGGCTACAAGGTGGGGCTTTGGCACGGCAGAGTAGCATGCTACCTAAATTTGTCTCGCTGCCGCCGGCCCGCCGGGTCTGGAAACCTTCATGCGTCTGCACTGAAGGAGCTTGCTAGATTTGCACAGCTGGTGGCAGACACAGGTCCTGCTATGTTCCATCAAGACCACTGCCAGCTGCGGCAGCCTCCTTGGCCGCCGCCTCCTTTGCCACCGCTTGTGCCGCCTCTTTTGCCGCCTGCTTTGCCGCCTCTGCCGCATCTGCGGCAGCCGATCGAGCAGCTTCTGCAGCCTTCTTCGCAACGGCAACAGGGTCCTCAGCAGGCTCTTCCCCGCCTGCATCCGGCAACGGCGCTTCCTTGCCCTCCTGCTGCTCAGACTCCCACATCGAGGCGAGCTTGCCGTCGTCGCCTGCCGCCTGCGCGGCTGCCCTGCCACCATCTTCATCTGCTGCTTGCCCTGCTGGTTTCTGTCTGCCCTTGTGATCTAGCTGCTCTGCAGGCTTCTTGTCGCCTGCGCCGGTGCGTTCGTGCACAAGGGTGTCGCTACCGTCGGCTGCAGCTGCCGCTTCGCCTTCTGAGACGGTAGCTGCTTCAGCAGCATCAGGGGCAGACCCCTCCTCAGCTAATCCAGAGTCCTCTTTGCCAAAAGCAGTGGCCGCAGCATTTTGTGCAGGGCCCCCTTTGCCACCGTCCGCCATGGCAGCACCAATGGGCCCAGAATCTCCCATGCTGCTCTGTGCCGGCGGCAGTTGGCGTGACAACATCTTCACCAATGGCCGCTCGTGCTCCAGGGCAAGCCCGTAGGATGGGCAGCAGTACAGATGCAGCTCGAGATCGGGAACTCGCCACCTTAGCGGCTGACACACTTTCACCTTGCTGCCTTGACCGCTGTGCTCAAGGCAGTCTGCAGGGCACATGGGGAAAGCATGAGTTGCAGCCATTGCTTTCCTGTCCCCACCAAGAGCCTGGCACGCTGGCGGCACATGCTCACAGTCATCATCCATGAACCACAGCTGCTGCTGCTTGAATATGGCAAGCTTGATGTCATCAAAAGCGCAGATGGGGTGCAAGAAGAGCACTGCAGAGCGGAGGACAATGCACAGTCAATTGCAGGAGCAGCAGCCGGCGGGGCCGTCTGGCAGAGCGTAAACAACCCACCCATGCTCACTTACTAGACCAGTCGCAGGTATCGAACAGTGGAGCCTCCTCTGGTCTGCTGAGAGTACAAACATCGTCGGAGTACATATAAAATCCAGGCTGGAAGGCTCGGATCAGGGCCAGCTTCCCAGATTCCTTGGCTTCGTCCATCTTCATGGTGGCAGCATGCGTTGTCAGCACGACAGGACGTACAGGTCAGGAGCATGGCAGCTGCGTGTGCACCGCACCTCTCGCCGCAACCTTCTACAGCTTTTGGATGACCAGGTGCAGCGGCGCAAGCTGTGCTCCATCAGCTGGTCAAGGCCCTGCTGGTCGTGTTGACCAGCCTTGATGCTTTTCAAGGCTTTCGCTGACCACGCCTCAAACAACTTGATCGCAGCAGGGGTTGGCAGCACGACATAGTTGCCTCCATTCACTGCGGGGCATGGGGCACATCCAACACTCGATGGTTTTTGTTTTTTGTTGAAGGGGGAAGCGTGTGGGCGGAGACACCGCTTCCCGCATGGCACAAGGCAGGTCAGTCTGGGCACCAACAGCACCCCTTGATCATCACCCGAACTATACTCGGCCTGGAAAGCGGCGTCTGCGCTGCCGGCCTCCAAATACGCCAGGTAGCTCTGCCAAACAGGCTTCACCGTGAACACAACATCGCTGTCTGCATGCGCAGACAGGCAAGGAGGCACTGTGGGGCATGCTGTGTTTCGGCAGAAGGGCACAGGCACACATCCCCCAACACCTACACACCCGTGTTCAGGACGGCAAATCCCTTCTTCAAAAGGTACTTGATGATGGCAGGCCGCAACCAGCAGATGACCTGCCCCACAGAGTGCATGCAGGGCAGGTGGCTGTGGGCGCAACAGTAGTTTAGGCGCCAAACCAGCACCCCAGATGCAGGTTCACTGCTTGCCCCGCACGTGGCTTGCCCCACACGTGCACACAGCGCCGGGTTGCAGCCCGTACGTGCCGCGCAGCTACGTGGCAGCCGCTTGCACATAGTGGGTCCCCGCCACACGCCAGGTAGTCGTGAGACCCAAACTCGCCAGCATCAGGACTGTGGTCCATGGGCTCCGGCAGGAAGGCGCTCACATCAGCGCAGGGCAGGTTCAGGTCGGCGCACGCCTCCAGGTCATGCTTGGTCCAGGTGCCAACAATGTAGTTGCGCACGCCGCCAAACTTGACCATGGTGTAGACTGCGGGCGGAGGGCCACGGTGTTCGCCGCATGGAGTCAACGACAGCTTTCCAGCGGCCACATGGCAGCAACCAGGCAGTCACACTGCCTGCCAGCCCAGCCCAGCAAAGTCCAGCCCCTCAACTGGTGTTTTGCATCAGGATATCAAAGCGTCCAGCAGCGTAGGTCATCAACGTGATGGTCTTGCTATATTTGCCCTGAGGCATGGAGCGCAGCTGCAGCAGCTTGTCCAGCTCATCCACCCCCGCATAGCTGAGGGCCTTGGTGCGCGGCGGCAGCAGCCAGGGCGCCGCCTCAAACTCGGCCAGCACCTCCTGCTTCCTCTCGGGCAGCGTGTGGTCGCCCTGCAACCTGTCATATGTCTCCTTGCTGGGGAGCTCCATGGGGGTGGTGCCTGGCCAGGGCGTGCCCACGCCTGCAGCCAAGGATGAAGGAACTAGCATGCAAGCTACTTGTTGAAGCACCCCGGTCCAAGAACCAATGCAGTCGATGGTTGTGCTGGTGGGAAGGCTGGCTGATGTGCCAGGTGGCGCGTTCCCACCTGACTGCTTGCATGTTGCCCCCCCCGAGTAGCTGCTGCCGCCCACTCTGCTAATGCCTACAGACGTCCGTGCGTGCTGCACCATGAGGTTGGGCCTGCGGTGCGAGCGGGGAGGGCATTCGGTCGGCGGCGCCGGGTGGCGTCGGTGTTTGCGGCAGGCGGTGCACATGCTAAGCACTCCGCCAATCGGCAGCTCCCCGCCAATCGCCAGCTCCCATCTCACTTGCTGAATGATACCAGGCCCACAACGACCCCGCAGGCGAATACCACGAAGAGCGGGGCGGCGCTGGTGCGGGGCGCAGCCAGGTTGTTGGACCGAATCATCTCCCACCCCTAATCTCAGATAGCCGTCAAGCACCCTACACGGAGCAGCAGAAGCTTTTCATTGTGCTTGGCCGCAGGCGCGCCTTCATCCCCTTCGGCGGTGGCTGCAGCGCCGTGAATCTTGTGCAAGCAGGTACGAAGGTCAACGCGAAAACAATTGTGTACCAAACCTGATCACCAGCGCAGCGCCGCCTTACCCCATGTGTTGCCCGCTGATGTGGCACCTCCCTAACCCTAAACCCTAAACACAGCCCCGCAGTGCCAACCACCCGCACAGCTGCACGCCGCCCCACAGCCTGGGCGCCCATCACCGGCCGCAAGCGCAGCGCTGTGGAGGCAGAGCTGGCCGATGAAGCGGAGGTGGCAGCTGCTGCGGCGGCCATGGATGAGGGGGAGGCTCCTGCTCGGCGCAGCAGCCAGCGGGCAGCCGCTGCGGGCCTGATCGCCGTACTGGCCATGGAGCACGAGCTGGAGGATGCGGAGGAGGTGCTGCCCATGCGGCAGCTGCCACAGCGCACCGCTGCCACTAGCAGCCCTGCTGGCCAGCGCCGCAACCGCATAGCAGTGCTGGCAGCGGCGGCTGCGGCAGCAGCTTCGGAGGCGGGGGAGGAGCAGGCAGCAGCAGAGGCGGAGGAGGAGCAGGCAGCAGCAGAGGCGGAGGAGGAGCAGGCAGAAGCAGAGGCGGAGGAGGGCGGCACGCTGGCAGCACCACACCCGCCCATGCCAGCACACTTGCAGGCCACCCGCTCTCGAGTGGCGGCGGCTCAGGTGAAGAACCGCCAGCGGATCGCAGCGCAGCGCAGGCCAAAGGGCGAGCCCAAGGACTTTGCTGTGGGCGATGACGTGCTGCTGCTGCCGCCGAAGCGCGGCAAAGTGGGCAAGCAGCTGGGCCGCAACCGCATCGTGTGCCGCGTGGTGGAGATCAAGCGGCCCTTTGGCGTGACCATGTACCGGCTG